AAAATATGTATAATACAATAATCTTTTCAGTGTACATAAATATAAAAAGTAAAGAATGGCAGAGTCGTTTAGATTACTTATAATTTATAAGCCAAAAAAATTAAGTGCAGTAAATTATCTACATCGTCAAAACTATAGGAAGCGGCTGCTAACAGGTAACAGTATTTCACACTACGAAAATTGATGAATAGGTATTTGAACGAGCCTTAGAAAAATAGCATACAATTAATGGAAAGAGTTCTCCGGGCACTCTAAGGCTAAATTAAATCATAAAACGTCAATTTTGAGAATAAAAACAAATAAAACCATCAGACGAGGTTTAACTTAGCATCTAAGTACCAACATCAAACGAGGTTCACCTAAGTAGGCATCTACTCGGTAAATCGAATATTAACATTATATAATATTACGAATAAAATATGAAAGACGATCATTTTTTTTTCCATTCTGTATAATGCAAGTAATAAGTATACACGTATATTATTATGTCATATATTTTTATATTGTACTTAGGTATACACGAGTTTATTGTTGTATTGCGAAGTCTTGGGCAGTGTGCGTGTCAGCGTTTACGGCCTATACGGCTGTACGCGTAAATCTTATTTAATTGCAAATTGACAAGTACACGCGTTTACTTTCATCACACTAAAACGTCGTTTTTCCGGTTGTCATTGTTTCGAATTTTCGTGCATACACCTTTTATAATGTTATAATATATTATGTGTATAGGTATTTACTCTGGTCACGGCCCAAGGTCATTTGTTTGTAGCTGTAAATTCTTCGCGAATAAAAGACACACACAACAATCAAAACAATATCATATGTAGGTGTCTATGTAGATCTAGTCTCTATAATGTAAAAACAAACTTGTGGTATTATGGTACATACATACATTAAAATATACCATTTATAGCGTGGTCAAGTGACAGTTACCGGAATAAATAGCCACCAGCAAAATTCTAACGCCTTATAAATGTATAGTATTTTTCGTTTTATATTGAAAACGGTAAGGTATATTGAAGTACAATAAATTATACTTGCGATTCATAATGATTAATAATACCTTAATGCTTAATGACTTCTTTTCGCAAGTTATGCAAAACTAATCAACGAGTAAAAAATTCGTAGGCCCAATATCGCGATATAGGTGTACAATATATTTATGTTATATTTTAATCTTACAAATCATCGATTGCTGCACATTTTTATTGTCAGTTATAATTTGTATAGTTATATTATATAGAAAATGTTTATTTAATGATGTAATTTCCAAAATTTTGGTCTGGGATAGGCATTTCCAACGTACTCCACTTATAATTGGGTCGAATACTATGCATACTGAAATATATGTGGTATGTGAGTGAAAAATATTTTTTTCTTCAAATTTCCATTTATATTACAAGTTATTTTAGTAGTCAAAATAAGCTTTACTCTTTTCCAGAAAAATTGACAATCGTCTTTTCTCCGATTCCCACTCTGATATACCTACTTTTCAGTTTTCACCAAATGAGATAAAATCTGCTTATTTACCTTTGAGTTTTTTTCCAAACCTAATAGAACCATTTCATTATACAAATTCCATTTTTGTCTTTCTAATAAACTAAAATATGAAATACCTATACCTAATGTTTTCAAACTTAAAATATTTATTAGTGATGGAGAAATTCGACAAAAAAGTATATGCTGTTAATATGGACAAATATTATATATTTTAAAAATATTGTAACACAACTTGTATCTGAGCTATTGGCCTTTAGATCCCCTAAGCATTTACATCTAGAGAGTATAGCTCATTACTCACCACACCTTCTAAGTTCTAATCTATCTTAGTTATGAGTTATGAGTTATGACACAATATGATGTAATATTATAACGTGTAATAGCAAATAGGCCATACTATATTAATAAGCATTACAGACAGTATAATTCAAGTGGCTTAAAAACACCGGAAAATGGGAATTATGTTGTATGAATATAGTAGGTATGTATATTATTTTTGAAATATTTATTAGTATGTATGTGTATTGCGTAATTGTATGTACAATGAGCTAATGATTTATTTATTGATATAGGTAGGTATGCGGGAAAAAAATATTTACATACAACTGAGTGATACAATATAAGCAGCGTGCAGCGAAAATATTAATTGTAATATCTTTATTATATACTTTGATTTCTATACGAGCTGCAAGGTAAATTTTTATTTTTAAACTAAATCATTGAAATATCTGTATTTTTTAATCAAAATAAATACATAAATACGTGAGTATACCTATATGTATAAATATAAAAATGTAAACACCGTTCATTTAAATAAAACTGTGATGGAATTTAAACGCCAATCACAAATTAACCGATTTCAAACAATATTGTTCTATTTACGGAGTACATTATTAAAAAAAAATGCACATAAAAGTATACCTATACATGCAGCACTGCGACAGTCACAGGTGACACGTTAATGGCCTATTGGTATACATAATTGATACATATATAATATGGTATTATTCATGTGTATATTAATACGGTCGGATATAGGAACAGACAATATGCCTATTACCTATATTATATTTATATTCAATACGTACCTCCATGGGAATAATAAAAAATCAAAACCAAATTTCCCAACAATCGGCGACTCGTACGTACACATTATTATAATCCGCGTACAGTGGCCTGCACATTCGCTCATACACGCATTACACGTTATAATATTATTATTGTGTTGTATTGCACCGAGAGAGAGAAATGATCCGCTGCGTTTAACGCGTGTGTAACCTAAAAACGGTTGTATATATTGCATAGAGCAACTCTATGATATATTGGCTTGTGGACCGCCACAATATCGTATTATATTATATAGGTATCGGTACACTGTTGTGTGTTATATTTCTTACTCTATGGCTTACAACGTAATCCTAAAATAATAGTCGTGTACCGTTTATTTTGACTGCAATCATAACACATTATTTGGCACACGTCGCGTTTGTAAAGAAATACCTATAAATAGTAGTACACTACACCTACATAATATAATACCAGATAGCTACCTATATAATAGTATGCATACCATAATAGAATAATATAATAACGGAAATTCTTTAATTTGGGTATATTATGTTGTGTCATGTACACCCGGCTACCCGAATAAATATTACTATAATGTATTACGCACATTATTATTATTATTATTATTATTGTTATACATATTTTATCCATACGAATCAATGTAAATTTTTCGACAGCACCGAATCACAAGCATATCTACAGCGTATCTGTTCCGGAACACCGGAGCAGGAAAATAAACTTAGGTAGTAATGTAGTATATAATATACTAATAGGAGTTATCGCATAATATATAAATAAATTGAACGACTACGTATCTACACACGACTGCCCCTTAGGTTTTTTTTTTTTTGATATCCATTATTTAGTTATTAACAGTTATTGCGTTACGATAAGTTTTGTTCAGAATAAGATTACGTCAAATAATATGTTTAAAACGAATATTGCTATATGCAGATATCTTAACGATGATTGTCACCTATCTAGCTCTATGCAGTGCATAGGCGGCGGGGTTCGGGAAAGTCAGACTTCCAGGAACTAAGCCATTCAAATTATTATGAAGTCCCCCCAAAATAATTTAAGATTCTTAGCGGATTTTATAATAATTTGATTGAGTCTGAAAAAATCTTTTTAGAGTAGGAAAATGCTTTAATTTTCAACTTCGACGATTTGGTTTGTACCATGGGGGAGACCAAAAAAATGCATTTCCAATAACTTACAAGATAATTGCTAAAACTAACAAAAACGGGAACATATGTGAAAAACCAACAATCAAAAAAATAGATTTTGTTTTTTTTTGTACCTACCTTCCTATAATTTATTTAAAAGCGAATAACTTTAAAATTACTCATTGTACAAATGTATAGATTGTAATTCTTCAAAATAAAGTCAAGTATAAGTCAATTACAAGTTTTCCTGTAAGTGATTAAAAATTATTGAAAACAGATAAATAGTGACAATTTTTTATTAATATTTTAAATGCATCAAAATTGAGAAAATTTGCAACTTATTATGTAGTTATGAATCTATAACATTTTAAATTTTAATATATAAGGTTTAAAAAGTGAATACAAAGTGATTAATAAATTTTCATTACTAGAATTTATAAAAAAAATTAAGTGTAAACCCACATAGTATTTGTTATGTCTATTTTATCAAATTTTGATGTAATTGAATGTATATAAAAAAAAAATCGTTTTAACTATTTTACTGTCGTCTGAAAAATATTAAATTCTTTTCTTAGTAAATACATTTACAAATTTTAATTTCAACTGAATATATACTTTTATTATAAAATAAAATTTTATTTCAGAAATATATCTACTTTAATAAAATCAGGTATAAATGACAAGCAGACTGTCGGAGAAAATTGGAGAGGCTAGTCTAATAAAAAAAAAAAAACCACAATATTCTCGTAAAACAGTGATCGGATAGCCAATGCGATGTGGGCATAATTCAATAATATTATATTATACTCGTAAAAAAAATGACGTCGTCGCCGTTCTCTCTGTGGAAAACCCTTAGAAACTAGATGTAGCTAAAAACAAATTGTATGGGCATATAATACATATATATTATACTATATTGGTGAAACAACGGGGACATCTCGTTTGAAAATAATTAGATACAAATCCAACATCATCTCCAGTGGCATTGGATGTACACCCTGGTCCCTACCTCCCGGCACTTTTAGTCACACATAATACGAATATATGACACTCATATGTAGCATAATATCATAAAAATATCAAAATGCGTTGATACGCACTACAGTGTGGTGCCGCCGCTTGGTAGTGGCTACGATTTTTCGCGGTGTTTGCGCAACCGTTTTTCCAAGACGGTTTTGCCGGAAAACTCCCGCTGATAGCTCGGCCGTTTCCCCCGCCGACTTACGCCAACGACGAAAACCACCATCGCGATTAAAAGTGAAAACGCCGGCCACTTCGGGTCACATGTAGTCTACCCGTTCGGCCGAACCCAAACAAGCGTACACCATATAATATAACAATATCTAATACATCGTGATACCTAAGTGTAACTGTTTTTACGGAATAACAACCAAAAACATACATACTCGATTCGACGGTGTGTTTTATTTTTCGTCTTCATCTTGATTTTTGTTTGTTTTTCCGGAACAATGCCGTACGCGCCCAGTGCACCACCGTCACGTGAAATGTATTTTCAATAACGTACATTTTATAACTTACCGCCTACAGGTTTTAATATTACATACTCTTACAAAAACACACTGTAAACAGCATTTTAGATAATAGCTAGAAGACCACGTCGTCGTGTATGCATTTTAGATGTCGACACGAACGCATACAATGGTAAAGTATACACGTATAATTTTAATACACGCCTACATGTATAAATCATAATACGAAGTTTAGGGCTTTAAAGTAATTTAATTTTCACACATTTTTTGCAACGGATAAAACGTCCAAATGTCTAATATTATTCAAAAACGATGCGAGTGATTACATAAATATATGTATATACCATGACTATAGTCCATACCATATCCTGTTTACAACATCTCATCACTTTCATAATTCACATTATACCAATTATATTTTATTTGTTTCGGACCCTCGTATAACGTACAGGACAAGACGATGATAATTCCGACTTTCCGCATACAAAACGTATACCTACCTATGTACTATTATTATACTTACTATTTGTGTATTTCTGATTTGGACGATTGATCATCGACCGATCGATGGAATCATGTTCGAAGCGAGAAATCGCCTTTGATGTATATACACTTCGGTAGTCGAGGTTAATAGTGTCACGGTTATCTATTAGATCGTCGAACGTTATCCTCATATAATATGTTACACCCACCACAGTTTTAGCATTTCAGTACTTTCTAGTTTCTAGACACACGATATTCAAATATTATAATGCGTGACTGCGTAAGTATTATAATATTATTTTATGGACATAATATCTATGATTAAGTTAAAGGTGCTCAGATTAATTAGGTACGTGCAATAGCTAAAATTAATAATACCTACAATATTATGATGTGTGTAGTGTGTAGTGTGTACCCTCGTACGTTGAATATTATGTACATTGCACTTTTTATGTTACAAACAAAAATCTATAATTTTATGTCGAACGTTTCAAGCTGTGATTTTTCGAATCACTGTTGAGTTATAATAGAACTCAATATTATGATTATTGTTTTCATTCTCAGGTATAAAAGGAAAACAAACTTGTTGTGACATCATTGCAATTTGCAGGTCCCGCAATGCGTTTACACACATTTGATTTTGTCGTCGAATTCGGTTAGTGGACTCAGTTTTCCGCGGGGTTTGGTTAGGAACCGGAACGCTGGACCTATAATCACTTGTTGATTATCCACGGTTGGTTTTTCCGCCCGATCGTCCCGAGAAATGTGTCGAAATCAGATCCAGGGTGAACGTGCATAGAGAACCTGTCACGTGTGCCTTGTACCTTAATTCTTAATTCATCACGAGTATATACGTATAAGGCTTATAGTTTTTCCGTCCAACTCTCGAGGCGGTCCGATTATAACGTTTAGAAATCGAAAAATATTCGTTGGGGTTTTTTTTCCGTCTTGTTTTTTTTTTTTACAAAGCGTATACATGGTATGGGCACCTGTAGTTTTATTTCAGATCGTCGGCAATTATATATTATGGTACTATAACACTACATACCTGCATACATCGATATGATTTCACAGACTTATATATTGTAGTCTACATCACACTTCGAAGTAGAGCTTCGACGTTTACCACCAACTATTACAGTAGTTTCCTCATAGGAATTACTTAAATACACATAATATTATGTAATGTTTCTAACGTTATGGAACGCATTTATTTTAGCTAACGATCGATATTATTGTTGGCGACGGTCATTTCCTAGATTCAAACGCTTCGTAGGAGAATGTTTTTTTTTGGTTTCAAGTATAATAATTACGTCCAATTAGATGTCGTCTTGCCGTTTCGGTTAAATCTGTTGCGACAACGTGAGTCTGTTTACTGAAAACCTGGAATCTATAGTTATTATGCCCATAATATGCCGTCTTAAATTTTACAGCAATTTAACAATAATTTAAAGATGTCGTCACTCGTCATCGCATCGGCGTATTTATTTTAGTTTTCAAACAATAAACTTAAATTAAACCAATTATTTTTCTGTAACCGTTGTTATTGCGTGTCAGGAACAATTTTGGCATGGTCTGTTGATCAGTTGTATCTTCACGGCGACCGTCTGCAGTTCGGAAGACACGATACCACGCCGAGTAGTTCCAAATTCTGACGAATATAAAGACGAAATCGTCGCTGCCGAAGATCACGAGTAAGTTCAATATTTACATTAATTTTCCATAAACATATTTTTGAGACAAGTGTGTAAGTGTGATTTGTGTTTAAATAATTATATTATACTATGATAATTGACGATTGCACTTTTGTGATTATTTGAGGCCAAAGTAAATAGCAAAGCACTTACTGTAGATCGTGTCCAATATGATAATCAAATAATATAACATGATATTTTATTTGTTGAAGTTAATTTGTATGATTTCTTTAAATCGAGTTACACTCCATTTAGTCCTTAGTATACGAGTATTCAATCACACGTTGAAGTCTTTTGATCAATACATAAGAAAGTATATACTATAGTTCACAAGGAAAACAACGATTCAGTGATTGGTGGTTATAGATCACACATAGAAATCACTACTAAATGCCACGTTTGTAGTATAGATACGAATATTCAATGTTTGACCATTAAAAAAAAAATTGTTAACTGTGGTATGGTGTATATAATATATTACCGCAATTTATCGTTTGCTCTCATTAATTCACCATGTAAAAATTTGGTTGGTCATTTGTGCAATATCTCAGTTTTTTTTATGAATGATCAATTAAAACTAATCTCATTTTAGTCGAGCTAAGATAGTTAAATAATTTCATATTGTTTTGATTATATAGTAGTTTATCATTTATCATAATATATTATAAGCTTGTATTTTTTTTTTTTTTTTAATTGTAAATAATGACAAATTAACGAATCTACAGTTAAAATCTGATAATCGCATTGTATTTTAATCATTTTCCGATGTTTTTTTTACAACAATAGTTATCCGAAAATGACATATAAAAAAAAATCCGTTCGTAAAAATAGTGATGGACAAACTCCATATAATATAACACAAATTATACTATATATTTAAATATTACACAATAATGAGACTTCGTCGTTTTGTACAGACACCACCGGATCATCATTGTGGTGCCAAAAGAAGTGCCGCAGCATGTGAATCACGTGCACACGTACAAGCTGGCTGGCAAGGGCATACCGCTTATCCACTCTGGCAAAGTAGTGCATGACCACAAGCACAGCGGCAAGGTGGCGCACGAGCACGGGCACGCGGGCAAATCAACGCACAGTCACAAGCACAGCGGCGCTTACGGCCACCAGCACAAGCACCTCGGGTACATGGGCCATAAGCACTTCGGCAAAGTGGGCGTGGTCGGACACGGGCACAAGCCGGTCCAGCAGCCTCCGCGCCAATCGCCGCACGACCACCACAACCGCGGCCATCATCCACTGCTGCACAACGCCGCGCACCAGCTGCACTTGCAGCAGCTACAGCAGGCCGGCGACTACCTGGTGCAGCAGCACGGCAACGCGGGCGGCAGCAGTGGCGTGTTGCAGCAGATCGGCGGGCGTAGGCCAGCGTCCGGCGGTCGCATACAGTTCGTACCGTCGTCCAAGCCTCGGGGCCTGGGATCGTTCATGCCAGCCGAGATCCAACAGTACGTGCAGCACGGCGCGGTCGTCCAACAGCATCAGCAGTTGCAACATCAACAGTTGCAGCAACACCAGCAGCTGCAGCAGCACCAGCAGTTGCAGCATCAACAGCATCATCAACAGCAGCAGCAGCAGCAGCACGCGGAATACGACGACGACGAGAGCGGTGGTGGCCGCAGCGCACAGCCGCCAGCGTACAACGTGATACACTTGCGGGTGCCCGATCACAACGAACCGAACGTCATTAAGCACGTGGACATCGACTTGATCAACAACGTGGCCAAACTGCAGACCAGCGAAAAGCAACAGCCAGTCACCGCTAATTTCAAGGTTGGTTAATCATTTTTTTGAGATAAATTATCACACCTACTCACTGCGTTGTCACGGGGCAAGTTGACGTGTTTATAACCATTGACCACTTACACTATTTTCGGGTTGATGGTTTTTTTGGTATAAAGGTTAAAATACTTCCCAAATACCGCTTGAACGGTATAAACCGTAATGGGCGCATGTAAACTCCACCACAAGTACCTTTTTTTACTGTAAACTCCGCCAGAAAAAAAAATAGGTAAAATTGGGTTCATGTAAACTCCGCCAGTGAAGAAAATCAAATAGTAGTATAAAATTAATAAGTTATATTATTTAAAAAAAATTATAATATAATATAATATCATATCAATATTTAAATCATAGTATAAAAAATCATAATAAATAATCCAAAATCATATTTTTCATAATAATAATTAATAATTGTCCTCATAATAAAATAAAATATAATAAAAAATAAATAAATAATCTTCATAAATATTGTCATGTATGAAAAGTGAAAACTATTATGATTTGATACAATTTGCAAATATTCTAAGTCTTGTATTTCTTTATTAGTATACCTATTTATAGCATCCTGTAATACTGTCATTTTTTTTTTTGATTTCGAATTTTTTAGCTGATTTACTTGAGATATGCCATTTAGTTTAATATAAGTTTGGGTTTGAAATTCGATAAGAACTTTACTAAAAATGTGAACATTCGGATGACTTTTATAAAATGAATTTCTCAGATGACTATGAAAGGATTCACAGGCATTTGCTGTTCGATTTAAATTTGCATTTTGATCAGCCCACAAATGAGGAGAAAATGCTGCTTCGTTACTTATATAATTGTCAACAAGGTAATCTGAGAACTTAGTTACTCTAGGGTCGGATGGCATGATTGCTTCTAAAGTAAATGAAAATACATCGGGAACCTTTTCGGGAGATAAAAATAATAATCCGAAACATAGATGAAGCCACTTACTTATTTCTGATGTGAGCACTGTCGCACTGACCAGGCAAAAAAAAAAAAACTGGCGGAGTTTACATATACTCATCACAGGTAAGAAAAAAAACTTGCGGAGTTTACCATAGACCTATTATTACCTTTTTTCTTGACCGATATTCTGATGGAGTTTACAATCGCCCACCGTGGGCAATACCGAAGTACGGACGTATACCATTACCGAAGTGATTCCGTATATTACATAAGTTGACAGTTTTTTTCTTTGGTTTATCGGTTCTTATTCCGAAATACCGATTTCAATACCGCCAACTTTTATACTATATGACGTGCTGTCGGAAGAAATCACTCGTCACGTTTCCCTCCTATATAGTATAAAGGCACATCCGAATTTATTTGCAGCGGAGATGGGAGAACACAAACGCTCGAGAATGTTTGGTTAAAAGGCATTGAGTCTTTTTTTCTGCATCATGAAGAATAAAAAACCAATACTTTACCATTAAATACTTCCTTATACTTTGGAATTCGTATACCTATATGTTATACTTACTAGGCCGTACTCCGATTTTTGATACATTATCGTGGAAATGTATTGTAACTTATATTCAATGTATCGACTGTATTGATCCATTCATCATTTTTTTCTAAAAATGACACTCCATGATTTTTAACTTAACACGTTTATGATAGATAACTGTACGAAGAACGATATGACTTCAAATGTTCCTATATCGACCACATCTTACTCAAAATTGTATGTTCTTTGAATATTTTTCATCAGTTATGATGATATAATATGCGATAACTTAAGTGAATTTGAAGTTTCCAATATTCCTGGACATGAATACTTGCAAATACAATGTACACACGGGCAAATATTGTTATTACCATTTTGGTGACTGTCTACAAAGACTCGTTTTTCGTTTATTATAATATTCTTTCCACCGATATTACACAGGTAACGGACTTTTAAGTTATATGTTGGAAAACTGTGGCTGCATAATATAATATAGTATAGATTAGTGCTGACGACACTGGTCCACAATATTGTCACATTATGTGAATAATGTCATAATTTAAGGTTAATATTAAGTATAACAAAACCGTCTGGAAACGAAAATCTCGCGAGAAAATATAAAACGATTATGGCCGTACGCAATAAATTAATTTAAACATAAAGGTTAATTATTTCTCTATGGTACTTCCGGTTGTTTAGTTAATTTTGTTTTTCTTTCAGCGTACGCCAAATTCGTTTACCGAACATTTTCCAAGCCACTCTACGCACAGCTTTCAGATATCGCATAATCCGTGACAGAAGCAACCGTATAAAAAAAATATAGACCTTGTACCGTACAAACTACCTCGACACCAATATTGTTTATAGAGCCAAATAAGCCGATAACATAATAATATCTATATGTCTACATGATATTATAATATACTGTACAATGTTGCTAGCTGGCTCATTTTGTTTCTTACAGTAAAATGTTTTACGATCAATTTGTTGTTGTTGTTTTTGTTGTATTATTATCCCCGACGCTCACAATTCTTATATATTCTCTATTATAACAAACGAGTTTCCTGCATACGCGTCCGGAAGGGGCAAATGATCGACTTGGACACGACGATTGGGAAACCAACAGTGTAATTTTTAAGAAAGCCAACAAGTCACGTGTGTGCGATTTTCCGTAAATACAATTTTAAATATTTCCGCATTCCGACATGGCCAATTTTTGCAAATCCGCACGAATGTAGGTACATACTACGCAGCTGATTATACACTATCTCTCCTGTAACTGTATAATAAAATACACGCATAATATGAACTTATGTGAAATGATTGCTCAGGTAGTTAGAAAAATAACTTCAGGTTTCTATTTATATGCCAAGGAAAACAAAAAGGAATGTACAAAACAAAGCAGTGTGTTGGACAGAGCATATACCTACGTACGCTTGTTAAACTATTAGGGTTTTAATATACATAATATTTTAAAATATTATTGTCAGTTGCATTAAAAAAATTCATCAATTTAATAGTTCACTGTCAATTAATGGACCATCATGTGCCACTAAATCATGTTTAAGGTACCAGTGTATATTGAATTTGATTCATTACATTTTTAGTGATTGTTCATGCAATCCGGAATATATTATACTAATTATAGGTATCAGATATTTGAAATTAGCGTTCGAAAGTTAGGTTAATAGATAAAACTAAAGACTTTCCATAATAATTTACAAATTTATAATCACAATTGTTTCGTTAAGTATGAAAACTTAACAAAACCTTTTCTGGAGGTAAGACGATTAATATTTAACATCCAATGATTATGAAAGATTCTTGAGGACAATACAAAGCCTGCTGATAATATACCCCTACATGATTAATTCTTTCGGTTGTTTAAATAGCTTACACGAATTATAGATACATTTTGAACATTAGTATTACCTAATGATTATTAACAATTGTGAATATATTCTTAGACCAAAGTACCTAGTACCTATGGTATACTGAATAAATTTGATATTTCCTCCGCTGCACGAAAAAACACATTGAATCATGCTATATTTTATATGGTCACTGTACTAATGTATCAAATATAGCTCAAACAAATTCTATGTCAAAAGGTACGGTTTATTAGGTTACTAAAAGTCGATTGACAATATACACAATTTACTTATTTGTTGATAATTGCTTACCATTGCAATTGTAACGCTAAATAGACTGCTAGAAATGTATTATTTAGAAAATAATATAGATACCTATAATCAAGTACAGAATAACCGATGTAATTGTAGTTATTTTTAAGTTTGTCCTATCAACTAACGGTTAGCAAAAAATGTTGTATCGAGCCCAAAAAACATATTAATGTTAAACAATATATTATTATCAAATAAATAATTATAGTTTAATAAGTATATCAGTTCATTGTAAGTATATTATTTCAAAATCAATAAGTATGACTAAATTATGGATAATTCTAACTTTAAATGTACCTACGCCCTACAATAAGTTCTAGAAATAGGCGCATGAGCAAACAAAATACAATTTAAAAATTCGCTGTAAACTTTTATAGCAGGCAAAATGTCCTTAAGTGGACTCGATGTAAACTCTGTAAGTCTGAACATTATTTTTAAAAACAATACCCCCCTAATGTGAGTTAAATGCACAATAACTATGACCGTTTTTATTATTCTATGATAAGGGAAATTTTGATGTAGGCAATGTGTATAGATTATTGTGGCGTCGATTATATTCTGTAAAAAAACTACAGATTTGGTTCATTTCATCTTATATTTAATAACAAGAAATCAGAAAGTTAAATGTCATACAATTACAAGTAACAATCATAATAATAAATTGCAAACGCTGGTTTAAAATTTCATATTTTGATGCTTGTAAAAATAAAATGTCTTTATTACGTTCCGATGTATTAAAATTGAACTTGACCATTGAACGGTTTCGGTTATAATATTTAAACAATCGGTACTGATTTTGGGAATGTAACTGTGATCAAACTGAACCATATACGTATAGGTAGGTAGTAACGTTAACTATTAACCGTTTTCATCAAACCGAATATCTAAACGAAATGACTGTTTAACTATGTAACGACATAATGGTTTATTATTGCTACAAAACTTTTAAGGATTAAAATATATTTTTACTCTTTGCCCATATATTTTATTATGGTCGTTTCGTCTGGGGTCGCCCAATCTGCGTAGAAGGGGGAAATGATAATGATAACAATAAAAAAAAAATCATTTTCCGGTACCGTTTTTGTGTGCGCAGTCGGTGACGCAGTACAACAAGGTGATCGGACACGGTCGCGCGGTGGCCCCTGCGAATGCCGAGGACGAGTTCGACGCGCAGACGGACGACGAGGACGTGGGCGGCGAGCTGTTGCTGGAAGACGCGGGTTACCGGTTCGGCGAGGGTTACCGGCTGGCGATGGACACGGCCGGCGGATCGGGAGCTCGCGACTTTTCCGCCGCGCAGGAACAGGACGAGGAGGAGGTGGACGAGTCGTTCAAGGAGCCCTTGGCCGGCGTGGACGACGAGCCTTCCGACGGCGGCAATAACGCCTACAGCCAGACGTACAGCCTGCAGTTTTGAACCTTCACCACCGATTCTTATGTATAAGATTGTTGTAGTTTTGTAGCTTTTGATTTTTTTTTTTACCTATAAATTATTTGTTTTTGTTACTATTTTCCTTTTTGATTTTGTTCTAAGTAGCTTTATGTCATGCGTGTCTTGTGCAATCACATTTTACGCGTGCATATTATAATATTATATTATTTATATCTAAGCCATGTAGTTTCTTTCCATTTGTTTTCATTTGTTCGCCACACTATCCAATAAAGAACTTTCGAATAAACTACTCTAAACTCTTAAAGCAGAATTATGAAAACATTTTATTACATTCTATACAATATAAAATATTTTTAAAAACCAATATTTTCAAATGTATTAGTATTCATACGATTTGACAGACACAAAACAAAAACTACTACTTTGTATCATTAAATCGCAATGGAATATTATGATAGGTTTAACTTTAAAACAATTTTTAATCGTTGAGAAATCCAGAAAGTTTGTGAGTATATTCTGGACTGTCACCGGTCAACCCGTATAATATAATATAGAACTCGTTAGATAATAAATAGTCCACTTGGTATGGATCACTCGGTCCTTGTGTTCATTTCAAGTCAACCAGAAAATCATGTGATATAATATTATGTGAATGTGTGTACGAATGGTCAATGAAAATTAACTTTTAATTACATTTTTGGAGTGCCGTGGGCTGCTGAGACATAAAAACGTCAAGACGTCCGGAAAAACAAACAATTGTCCAAACAAGTACTTATTATACACGCCGTACAATAATAACGCTGCACATCATATAGAAAGGTCACGCGGGTTTTGGGGGTTATGACATGCTTCGTCATATTCATATACCTCCCAGTAATTACGCCACTATCGTACAAGTAGTCTGCAATTACAAAGTAGTTTTGAAATGTTATAGCTGTATTATTACACACACACACACACACACACACACACACACACATACACACACACACACACACACACNCACACACACACACACACACACACACACACACACACACACACACACACACACACACACGCTCATCCATACATGTGTAATGTGTGTGTGTTGTGTGTATACGCCCAAATCATTCGATATGATAATTACATTATAATATTATTATACCGGAAACTATTCCCGCGAGAGACGGGTGGACTGTAGCTAGCTAGTCTGGATGGCACCGATTTAAATCGTATAGTTTTGGTATAATAGTTTAAGCATACATTTAAAGCACAGTATTTGAGCAACGATGACAGTGTTTCTGTGTACGTTAAGCTACGACGTGGCGGCTTGTTCGGTGCTCGTAAGACACGACTCTCGTTTTTCGATTCCGACAGGATTTGCATATTACTCATCTTGTCTCTAATCTTGTACGCGTCGACGGGTCGTTTGTGCATCTATTAAAATAATCATTATTGTTATTCACGTGTGTGTTTTACTTAAAAAAACATTATACACAGTATTGGATGTATTTATTATTCAAAATTTAAATTCATAAACGCCTCAACTGTCATCGTAACATATTATGCCGATAAAACGCAGTCAGCAGATGACTTTATTGGTACATATGTATTTTTTTTCAATAATAATAAAAAGTATGAATGTTGTTTGATTTGATTTGAATTGTTATTGAATGTACCTATTTTTATTTTTGTAGCTGAATAATTAATGTTTACAACTAAAATTGTTCCTCTGCACAGAATATTATGATTCCAAAAAATTTCTTTTACCTAAATTCTTATCGAAATAAGTTATATTATTTTAATTTAATCACTTCGACTATTTATCCCATACAGTAGAGTCTCGCCAATGCGGACTAGATGGTACCGGACTCTATCCGGATTATTGAAAATCTGGATAAAACGGAATGACGTTTTTTTTAACTTACTAATAAATATAAAAAAAACACAGTTTTCCATAACACATTATTATTGTTATTATTATGATTATATGTACTACGTATGTACATAATATGTCAATACAAATTTTAAAAAAATTAAAGAAAATAAGACTGAATTCACTTGCAAAATTCTGTGATATTTTTTTGTTTTAATTAAAATTGACGTATAGACATTATGCATGAGTGCCAAAGTACGAAATATAGATTATCCGGATAAGCGAGACTCTACTGTATTATTTTGTGTGAATATAATTTTAGAACATATTTATATACTCCGATGCACATGATTGAAAATGAATTACATATTATTTATTACAAATTAATAATCATTTCTTCACAGCAAACAAATTTTATGATTTATATCTAATATCGTTATTTTACGAATAAACTAAATAAAATAAAATAAATTATTGCATTAATATGAAGAAAAAAAAATTTGAAATAAAAGCACATTCCAAAACCCATCTCAACCGAACACTTTAAGTTTCACGTGATTTACCTATCGACGATTCAGCATAAACATATTTACTATATGTCTATATGAAACACTATCAATAGGTACCTGGATAACGATTAGATATCATCTACAATATTCTACATTCTACAATACGGAATTATTAGTCTAGACAGATGGAATCCAATATAATACTTACTTATCATGTTAAAAATTTAACCACAAACAAAACATACAATATTAATAATAATACAAAATTGAATTGAGTCAATTTAGTCGTATTCACGATATTTTGTGTTTGTGTGTGTGTGTATGTCATACATAAAATTATCGTCGAATAATATATTTGTATTTATTTTGATGAAATCAATTATACGTGTATTATAATTACGACAACGAAAGCAGCATCGACGAACGACCACAACGGGCACAGATATGCAGATGTACAGCGTGTAGGTACCTAACCGACTATAGAAATTTCTATGAAATGTAGTATGATAGGTATACGTATTTTATACTGTTACGACTTTCTAAAGATATTAGGATTTTTCTATCAATTCGAATTAATTGCACGACGTGATTTACGTCTGTACGGCCTACGATAATATTATTATAATATTATTTGATGCGCTCAAATTCGAAATCTCATAATTAGAAGAATCCCGGGAATCCGATTGCAGGAGTCGAGTCCAAAGATCTATCATAATATTATTATTATCAGCAATCGGCATGGATCGGTGTAGGTACCTACCTATATATAATTCAATATTCGTGTGTGTCTACTTAATAGTTAAATACTTAATATATTTTAATAGGCAGCTTACACTTTAGGGCGTTGTTGAGCGAATAGTTATGGTACCTATAGAGTCGTGTTATCGTATCAACGATCTACCCAGCATGGTTGAAACCGAAACAGCCGTCGAAACCAACAGACAGTCTATAACAATATTCTTACCCAGCGAATCGCCATCCGAGCGAATATTAGTATAATAAATATATTTATGTTGCGCGTTTCTCGAGATCCCACGAACGGAATACACCATAATAATCGTGCATGATTAATGATTACGGCTGTTTAGAAAATAATTTTAACGGATAAATAATAACACACAACCTAAACCAGTGCTGAATTTTTTTGAGGGGAGGGGAGTCGCAGGGAGTACCCAAATAAATTTCCAGATATTCTAGCGTATTCATACTTTTTTCTCAAATCGGGATACATATGAGCGGTTCTATACTTAGGTTTTTTTTTTACAAAACTATTAATAGTTCAATTTTTTCTATAAAAAAAAAATTGTGTTAGTATTGATATCTGACACTACGCTATAATCATAGACATTAATTTATGTCTATGGTGAGTGATGGTTATAAATCATGCAATAACACGAACTAAGATATAGTATCTTAAATAATGAAATCAACATCGACAGATCGAATGAAAATAATTTTCGTTGCTCAAAACAATTCCACAATCCACACGACCTCACCTGAATCAAAAATAAGTGCATTAAACCCTTAATATATATCCGTTCATTATGTACTCTTTGTACAATGTGTTGGTCTAAGCCCCAAGGTATTTATAAAACATTTAACTCGGCCATTTATGTATACCTACCGGAATAAAAAATCTAAGTAATTGAAAAGAATTGAAATTTGAATTTGAATAAATTGATTAAAAATTGGGAAAATTGGGAGAAAAGTTGTGGTGAATGAGCTATTTATGAATCACTCTGTATATATTGTAATTGTATATATTATGTGTACGGCGCGTACGATATTAATGTACAACACAACACTGATTTTCAATTTCTGGACACGCTCAGCGGTGTTTAATGTAGTGCTAATGTTCACGGCCGTACGTCAAACAAAATAAATGCAAAATATGTGTGTTGGTCGTTCCACAGATTAATCATTGCAGTAATTATTGGTCACTAAAATATATTATACACTAATCAAATTTTTTTATACACTTTTCACACTGCAGCGGCGTTCAACTCCAATTTGTTATGCACCTGCTGGTCGGCAATAAAATTGACTAACACTAAACAGTTTATTGTATGACGTGTGCTATAATAATGTACGAAATGTATATTAACCTGCTTTACAAAATGTCTCCATCGTTTATTCGTGGGGAATAATAATAACTATTTTATATAACAATATGATATTTTTTTTTATCCTTTTGTGTCTCACTTATAATAATACACTGAACACCTAGTATTGCTTATTTTTCGAATTGCCTATTGCTGGCGATTTTCGTGAGGCGAATACAGGCACCTATACGGTACGTTATGATAGGTACCAAATACAATAACCGTACTTACCGAGGGTGTTAAATCAATTCTGCTGGATATAAGAGAAGGTATGTTTATTAACTTTTATAAACTTTAATTTGAAAATCACCGACGATAAGGCCTACCTTCTATAAAAATGGAATTGTTTATTATTATAATCATATACCTTGGTACTGTTCGTGATATCTTTTTAGTTTTTTTCATTTCAATGTTTATAATAATAATAATCGTTTTAATACTATTCATGATTGTGCAGGGTTTTTATTGTATGTATTAGGTACTAGCCTTATTGTATATACCTATAATTGGAAAGTATTTAAAATAAATTAAAAATAATATATACAAATATAATATGTTATTAATTTATCTTTACTCTTACGTTTGTTGTTTATTATAATTAGTTTGCTAAATACTTCAAATACTTAAACCTATATTTAACATCTTAAATTGTTAACATAACATTGATTAGTTACACTGGGAATGAAAAATTACCAATTATTTAAATACATGCTGTATAGTGTATATTTTTCGAGTTAAATTATGTTTAATAACTTTTCTTCAGACATCACAGCATGTGTAATTATACGATAATAATATGATGAGGTGCCAAGCCGTTTTACACATTAATCATCATTATTTATTTTCCACGTTATCGTGACCATTGATTATACAGTATTTTGTTATACTTATTTAATTTACATTGTTATGACAGGAATACACACTTTTTACATACTTACATCTTATATTGAGTTGTAATGGACATAACGGCCATAGTTGATGCGTAGGTAAGTGGGTATAAGACATTATTCTTTATTGTTTTGTTTATAAATATATAATATTCTAATATTAACACTATAAATATTCATAATATAGTTAGGTACTAAAATATATTACATAATTAAGTCGACAAACATGTACACGCAGGCTGCGTAGGTATCCGTAGCTTCAAAGCAACGGGTCTTTTGAATCGTTTCCATAATCGTCATTATTATCATTATTCGTAGCAATATAACATGATAATATTTGTATGGTACGCGTGTGGCGCGTCTGTCGAATAATAAAAAAAAAAAAACTAACTGTACAACTAAAGTATAAGCTAGACAGTAGACACGTACTAAATCCCAGTCCTAATAATATGCCACTTACATAAAATTTATATACGTAACCGTGAATTCCACTCTAACACAAACGAACTTGAACTATGGGACTGACACGTATACCAATACATACCTACAATATTTACAAACGGAATGGATATCATGTGTGTGTTTGGAAGCCTGTAATTTTGTTAGTGATCTATCGATAAAATATCTAAAATCGTTTACATTCGTAGGTAAGTACTAGTCGTACTTACTAGTACTATAGGATGGGTATATTAGGCACTCGCATCATGCGCTTGCGTCGCAAACAATTTTGCAAATAAGAAAGTCACGATGTTGAAATATAGATAATAAAAATATTATAATTTAACAAAACGTATAATAGTTATTTTCACAAAAATATTATAGTCATATAGTTAATACATAAAATATATATTATTTATATTATGCACTTATGCATTATGTACACAAAAATAATTCATAAATAATAAATAATAATATAGATTCATGAATAAGTCGTACACGCAGAGCGCGTGCCGAACATTATCAATAATTACAAGAATTCAATTAAAATATATAATATAATATAGATGTATAATCGTAAATGAATAAAATAAATTTCCGATACAATTAAATTTACAATATATATATTTTATATCTATAAAAATTCAATATACGAGGTTTTGATATAGTTCTGATTAACTAAGTACCTAAAGAATATATTATTATAATTAACTTGTAGGTATACTTAATTTCCCGTACCTACGTTTACGCTAACTCGTATTATTTAAGTATTTAACTATGGTTGGAAGAGAATGATTTTCATAACGTGCCATAATTATTACAGTCGAGGGTAATATAGATATTTATTCAACCCGTAATTTGTAGAAAGTGTGTTACAAAGATTTCGGTTATTTTATATTTTTACTTGGGGAATGAACTTATTTATATTATAGCTTATCTGCTTAAGGACATTCAGAGTTCTACAGCCTCCAGTACTGAAGTGCGCGTACGTCTTTGTACGTGAACAATCGTATCATAATAATATTTGAATCATCAAAAATAATTGTTTAATTTTTTTATTTGGATGTAATCATGTATAGACGTGTATAATACAGTAAGTATGAGTATTATTTTAGGTAAAATGACATTTTTAGTTTTTCTGCTTTTGTTGTTCTCGACTATAGCATAGCGGTGTTTTTTTTTGGTTTTCGACGGATGGTCAGATTCAGCTACCTTGCTACCTATATGCAACACGGTTCACCGAAAATGTGTCCACGCGTGCCTACCGTGCAGTTATGATTTCGAGGAGCTACACGACTGTACTTGGTAAATTATACCTACTTACTTGTACGTCCACCGAGCGGCCGGCAGCTCATAAAGCGCCTCGAACGGTGACACGTAACGCAAGTACTGAGGCTGATGATGATCCTCGCCGCCGTACTGCTGATGATGGTGATCTAGCTGTGGTCGCTGCTGCTGCTGGTGTCGGTAGCTCTGCTGCAGGGCGTCGGACAACACGTACCGGTGACCGCCAGCGCTGAGTACCGTTTCCGCGGGCTTAGCGCCCATGTACGCAGATATCTCGGCCAACGTCAGCCGGTCGTCCGAACCGTCGGCGTCCACGTCCACGTCCTTGGTCGTCTTGACGGATGGCGACTGCGATGGCTGCACGGACGCCGTGGCAGACCTCACAGCATCGGCGGTTCGTTGTTGCTGATGTCCGTGGTGTAGGGCTTTCTCCTTGTCGGCGGGCGCTGGCGGTTGCCGCTTGTACTTGGCGCTATACACCTGCTGCATCTGCTGCATGTTCGGTTGATGCTGTTGTTTTCCGAACCCGTCGCCGTACAGTTCCTGGTGCCTGTTGGCAAAATGCTCGTCCATGGCCTCGTGCACCAACTGTCTGAGCTTGTCCATGGGATCGGCCACAGCGTCCACTTCGTTGGCGGTGTTCGATGGCGTCGGTGCGGTTGGCCGAATGACGCGCACTGGGACGTGCATGATGGCCGCAGGACGCGTTTCGTCGGCATACCCGGCGGTGGGAGCGGCGGCGACGATGACGGGACGTTTGCGTGACCGACCACCGCCGACGGCCTGTAGTGGCGGCCCGTAAGCGTAAGCGGCCGATTCGTGGTCGAATTCACGCATGTCGCCGTAGTCGAACGACGACACGGGCAGCGGCGCCGACTCGAAGCCATCGTCGTAGTCTGCGCCACCCGCCGTGTCGATGTAGTTGTTGTGCTGAGGGCGCAACATCGGGGCTGGCGAAGGCAACCGCCTGTACCGCGAACCGGCCATCGAAGACATAGTCGGTGGCCCCCCGGACATGGACGGCCGGCGTCGTGGCCTCAGCCCCCGCCTCCCACCGCCGGGTTTCGTCCTGAACTTGGGCCTTTTCATCGGCTGGCCCGGGTTCTTGTTGTACGCCCTGCGCTGCGGATACGGCTGGTAAGCGAACGCAGCCGACTGTTGGTAAAACTGTCTGCCCGACCGGTGGCCGTCAACGGCCGCCGCAGCCGTGGTCGACTCGACGGCGCTCGTCTCGGGGTGCAGGTCGCCGCCACCGACACCCGCGGTCGGTCCGTCGATTGGATCTATCCGGTTCTCTTCGTCACTGCTTGCCAATGACTGCAAGTCCCTACAGTGCATGCCAATACTAGTTGTAAAACGCATTGGTACACGGTATGTAATTCGATCGAAGAGTCGGTCTATATCTTGGATCATATACACTGGATAGAGCTATAGCGTATATCACGCGTAGTCCGTGTTTGAAGCAGACCTGTTCATGCCCGAAGTACTTATTGCGCATGCGTGAGAAATGAATTAGATCGCGCGGGACGGGGAAGGAACAATAGTGTGTTATAGTGATAAGGACGATTGGGTACTGAATGCTTAGATCATATACTTTGCTCATGCGCAGTGATGACTTCGGGGCACGAACAGCTATGCTTCAAGATTTTAAGCCATAGCTTTATCCAGTGTATATGATCTACGGTATACATGGTTAATATCAATCCGGATATTAAAATGACTTATATTTTCAATTATTAGTAACGAATATTAGTGCATCATACGAAACGCGTGCCGAGCGTCTGCGTAATCGGTATAAAAGACACGGTTAAAAATATGCGTGGTTTAATACCCGGATCGTAGACCGGATTCTCGATTAAATCACATACATGGGTACATATAAAATATGATTTTTTTGTTAGGTAGGTAAAATGTAAATGTATATCCAAACGTAATGCTAATGTCCTTAGTTGTCGAAGCAGACATTTATGACTTCATGACCAATAAAAAAAAAAGAATATGAATATAATTTTAATAGTTATTTTTGCAGTAGGTATTTGTTTTAGAATATCAGATACTCAGATGCCCAGTTCATCCTTGCAGCATGGCTGAAGAGACTAATATTTACAATTTATAAAGCATATCACATCCCTCCCCCTCCTATAACCATTAACTTGGAATTCCCATACTTTGTAGTTTTGCATACCGTGCCCATTTGAAACTGAAAAATGAAAGTTCATGGTACATAATCATAAGTTACTCATTTAATACGTTTTCGTACACACGATAATACATAAGTATTATTATACTGTGTCACGTGTATCAGTGTATGTATATATTTTGTTATCCCATTCACAGTTCTCTGCAATAAATTTCAATAACGGTCACTGTTCGTCTACTATCACGACTAAGCATAACTTACTGTACGAGACTTACTTTCTTTAGATAAATTATTATTTTATTAAAATTATTGTATAGTGTCAACTGTCAACTGTCAACTGTATGCAAAAATAATATTATTAAGTTTCTTTTACAGAATCATCAAGATGGTTACCTCTAAAACACCTTAATATGTGACTGTATTCCTGTTACTTGCCGGTTTTGTTATTGAAGCATGTCTTGAATTCCTAGTTCACTCAGACTGCAGTCGCCAGTTTGCGACAACGACATAATAGTTTACATGAGTGACATAGCTATAAGTAAGTTACTTACCCAGACGTAAGACATCAGTATAGATACAGATTTTTTTATACCTATAAGCTATAATTCCGGGTATTCATCTTTCGCGGAATAAATAACAACCTAAGTTCATTCGTATCAAGTTGTTGATAAATTGTTTGAAACGGTTGCTTGTACTATTATAATATGATTATAATCGATTTACGTATTAAAGCAGCAAACACGTTTTATAAAAAATCATTAGAGAAGAGAAAAAATGAGAATTCCAAAATGTAACGTTTAACGCGAAGACGTGGATGGAAATTACTGAAATTCATGATGAATATGAGTACCTACTACCTATAATAATAAGGAGGACGTTCATCTTCCTTTTTGTGTGTTCCTATTATCCTCGCAGTGATCGCCTCGGGTAAACATCAGTTGCCAGTTACCCCGATACTCGCATATCCGTTAAGCAACTGGTTTTCCTATACTGTCCCGGGCCGAGCAGACAATTCGTATCGGTTTTATTCGTGAAGTATTCTCTAAATTTCACGATTTGTATTCATTATTATTATTATTATAATTATTATACCGCCTAAAGGGCCAATAACAACATAATTACGAATAACCCTAATAGTACCTACGGAATGGGTTTTAAATAGTCGATATACGATATACCTACCTAATGCGATGGACAATATTTTGGTATAATAATTATGTATTACACCGAATAATTTCAAAACGTACACCGTGTTAGGGGATGAGTATTATAGGTAATAATAACTATTATATCCTAAATTATGCATTATAGTACAATACGTATGTAACTATGATAGCCGTGAACTGTCGGAAAGAGGTGGTTAGACCACCTTGATATTTTACAGTGGAGGCAAAGATATCGTTTAAAGCTCCAATTAATTGTACCTATGTATATTGCAACACTTTTTTAAAACGAAATCATTTTTCATTATGCTTGAGCTTGAATATTATTTTTCTGAGTGCATTTCATATGATTACTTTGTCATCATAACATTTATATTGTGTAGACTATTATAGATAATATACTTAAAATTATGCTCGTTAAAATATGAACAATACCAACTCGATGTTATTATATTAATTTTATAATCCTAAAACACTTCAATGACTGCTATCTTTAATGTTTACAGGAATAATTATTGTTATTGGTACTTTATTTGAGAGGTAGACGCGTGTCACCTCCTCCCACACAATTTATTTAAGACGATAAGTAAAATATATTTATAATATTTACCCCCTCGACTGTGAAATAGATTAATCCAAGTTACGCCACTGTCAACTACAATAATATGTTGTCTGTCATGTGATAAAAATTTGGAGATAGGTTTTTAACTTTATTTTATGTCACAAGTTTCAAAAGATTAATATTTAAGAAACACCAACAGATATTTGCATATATTTTATTAAATTTGATCAAACTTACGTGCAACGAGCAACGGCCAGGAATGAAAGAAAAATCAGCATCTGAAATCCATAAATAAATTATAATAATACACTACCATATAGGTAAAAATAACATAGGCAGGTATTATTTTTGCATAGGTAAGCTCGTTTATATACTTACTATACATATTACGATTACCTGTGTCATTTTGTAAAGTTTTACTAGGTTATACAAATGTATAAAACCAATCACACGATTCGAATATAGTATAGGATATAGCTATGAGCCAGTTGTTTACAGCAATTATTAAGGTGACCAATTCATTATAAGTTATAACAATATTACCCTATATTACTGTTACAGTATTAAATATTAAGATTTTTAAGAGTGTTAAGAGTCTTAAAAGCTCGAAAAAATAACTACGGCTTAAACTTTAAGCTTAAGTAAATGCATGTAAATATTCTTAGAGTGTATCGGGATTTTTACACCACTAAATCGAAGAAATGGATATATTTGCACTAAAAGATAAAAATAAAGGTATGAGATCGTAATCTGCAACACGTCTAATAATCAATTTTGGCAATCTCCATACAGCCAAAACCAGACCCCACTTAAATAATTAATATTGTAAAAGATATTTCCAAAATCATTAAATCATACACAGTAAACCTATTGATTAATCAATTAGTTCAAACAAATTATACATCGCCACTAAGATATCCGGATTTTATTTATAAATATGGTAGATAAATTATTGAACGAAGTTTAAAAAAATGTATAGTAATAATATTATGAAAAGTATTGGAAAATATTTTTACCTCGCAAACAGCACTTTATAATGAAAATATTTTATTATTATTATTATAAAGTTATACTAATGATATTAATATAACATTAAAATAATATTTTTAGATAACAAATTGGTCTCTGGGATGGTATTCAATTTATTTAAGAATTTATGACCATAAAGTTACAAATGTGTGATTTCATTTATGAATTATTTTAAATGTCTTATTTTATCAATTATTTCGTACATCTTAATCTATATTTTCAAAAAGACTTTTTATTATTTCTCAATTTTAGTTTACTTTTAAAAAAACAATAACAAAATTATATGAATTAAAACTAAAACAGTACATAATTACATAAACGTACATTTGTACATAAAATAAGTTATTTACAACGGGATCCATTTAAGTGCCTTCCCTAAATTAACTTATTATTTGAAAAGTTTTAATTTTCTTGTAAATATTATTTTACTTAATTTATGTGATGTCATTGCAAAATAACATTTTTATAATTGTTACCGTTATAATTTTAAAAGTTTGTACCATTTTAAATGACAACATACTTTTTTAATTTCATATTCCGTAGCAGAATATTATCTCGAATATTTGATAATTGGACCGATAAAAATTAAATGCTGAAAGAGCAATTAGTTTTAACTTGTAATTTATGAGTTATAGGTATCTTATATATTATACCTATTTAAAGTTTAATGAACCAATATTTTGCGGGGTTACCTTAGTATAAATGAATTATAAATTATAAATTATTTTAGAATACCATAATTGGTTAAAATAAACTATTAATATTATGTAACAGTATGATTGAATAACATTATGCGAGTGTAAATGTATAATTTTCGGTATTTGAAGAACACGAGGAAATATATTACATTATACATTTAATTTTTGTACCTATAACTAAGTAGGATTTACAATTTTAAATTTCTGGAGATAAAAAAAAGGATTAAACTGTTTCATTTTTCATAGGAAAAATATGTTCTGAAATTTACGTTATTTTAAAATTGGCCATCTGCTGTAAGGTTCTATATATATAGAATTATTATTATAAAAAATAATCATATAATTCATAACAATTTGTCGTATGAAACATTGAGATGTTTGTAAATGAAACAATAATGTGTGTACTTCATAACCGTCCCGTAAACAAAAACCTTAAAATTAATAAAATTCGTCTGTTACTTACTGACTAGTAAAATGAATATAAAAAATCTTAAAGGTAATAAAATCCCGTAAAATTAAATTCTAAACAGTGTTTTTAATTATATGGTAGTTGGACATGAAGTCACGGAAAAAAAAATATAATTTACTGGATTTATGAAATAACAGCTTAATAATTAAATAATTGTACCAAGGTATATGTTTAATGTACTCACCATTTTGTTATCCGTTTTCATGGTCAAAATTCAAAAGTAAATCCACAGCTGTTGATCGATCCGAATAGGTATCTCTCTGATTTATCTTGAATTATTTTAGTATATTATATGTTATAAAATATGATATAGTAGCCTAGACGGACCGTGTACGGCGTACCTTCGAAATGTTAGTAGTGCGTTAAAACTTTTTTCAATGCTTAAACTCTATATCGTATTATATTATTATTGCTATTGAATCGGCGTAAACAATACAACTATGAACGAATATCGACGCAGTACTACCCGAAGTCGAACGAGAATCGCATTGTGGAAATGTGCAGTCTGACCGTGTTTGTGCAATGGCATTGAATCTAAGACGCACGATGACCTCTAATTACGATCTTTTATAAGCTTCTAGGAGACCGGTTGCGAGGGAGTCGCTGGAGGGAGTGCGAACATTGCGGTGTGCGTATATATTCTATAGGCATGCAAGTATATGATATTACAGGTATATATAGGTATCAGGTATATACCTATATACCCACCTGCCTATACCTACCTAACTGTCTGGATGGTGCAGGCTACGGCACCGGCACGCAGGCTTTCCACAAATCGCATGGATCGCGTACATTATATGTATACGAATTCAATAGCCGCATCCGACGCCACAAATTTCTCCCATTTCACCATCCACGGAATGCGCATAAATAGGCGTATACTAGTATACAGTAATTATATTATAGATGATAAATGCCTATACGCGTGTACACCCGGACTGTAGGACGGAGACTTCGATTGTCCGAATACTATGGGTATGTCTAAACATTATTGTGTTGGTATTTATACCGCTCCTGACCATTTTTGATTACGATCAACATATTACACTACTCCGTCTTATCTCAAAACTCGAAGTATCCGATAATTTACGCGTTTGGTACATATGCCAAAAAATGTAATTATGTATATTTTGGAATTCCGATATCCGACTGTTGTGTGACTTTGCGCCAGTTATCGGATCATCTTATAGAAGTTAAAGGTTATTTGCTAACCTTTAAACGATATAATGAGTATAGGCCTCTAATTGTTTTTGGAGCAAATGTGACTTATCATTTAGCACATGAAAAGTTTTTAAAAAACGAAGAAACTTTAACGCTTTAATGAACTAAAATATTGTTGCACAATTTGTATTGAATATTTGGATTATTTTCTTAAATGCCATATTGTTTATAGCAATTAGTAACTAATAAATATTCAACATATAATATTAGACATTTTCAATTTGCCATTATTATGATAATAGATTAAACATGATCATTGTTATTACAATATTCATGAATATTACAATATTATTGAAATATTATTCATAGGTATTGCCATTTTTAAATTAAATTTTACTTTTTTAAAAATAATATTATTAATAGTTGAAATCGTACTTGGAAAACAATAATTAATGAATGATAATAATTTTAATTGATGGTTTAACTACTGATATGCTTTATACAAAAGCAGTTCCGTTTGAAATAAAAATATTTAGCTGTCTGACAAATAGTATTCTTCAAATAAACCACGAAATATATTGTGATGGGATTATTTTACATATTGTACAATAAACTGATCAAGAAGTTTTGAAAAATGCATTTGCTTATAATAAGTAATAACTATAATGTATGCTTATAATGTACGATTATATCTATTATTTATATATGATGATCAGACGTCATGTTACGTTTCTGGTTTCTAATAATATAGGAGATAATAAAAACTTCCGAATAGGATATAATTTAAAATGGTATGAAAAACAATATTCAATTATTTTGAATATATTATTTTTGGACAAGTTTTACATACAACTCATATTTACTACTTTTGGAATAAATAAAACAATTTAAGTTGGATTGATTATCCGTAGAGAGTTTGACATCGAGTATTTAGTTCAACGCTCATATTGATCTGGTTAATTATGTCGAGAAGACGAGAAATTTCTTCTAAATAGGAGGAAAATGCCTAAACAAATAGGTAAATACGAAATACGAAAAACTCTCCTTTTTATAATATATTCAATTATCGAGTAGATATATCGCCGGAAGTGAACGCGTATAATTGTATGTCACGAATTTATTTTTAAAAAACATGCTTATTCTTCATTTTTGTGCACAACATATTTTTGTACTGTAGGCGGCTGTGTACACGTCAAACAAGACCAATTTATGTGGTGCTCAAATGCTCAAATAATCATCACGTGTCAACATTTATTGTCACGATTTTATTAAATCCATATTAATAGATTGTGCTCTCGAAATATGTCTAACGTGAATAATCTTTACCAGATAGACTGTTTGTATAATTAATATACAACTATACGAGCTTCAAAAACATTGAACTCTTAAAAAATCCATAGGTGCATGCATTGGAGAATCATTATTATACTAATAATAATAAGTAATAACATAGGTACTGAAGTGAAACGGACTACGGTTAATCGAAATTATTATTTGTCTATCACGTTGTAGGAATCTGTATGTTTTAATCGTGTTTTAGAAATTAATGTTCATTAATAAGCACTAGCCAATTCAAATTATTTTTATGTTTTGTTTAATTTTAATTAAATTATTTAAAAGTCTGTTAAATATTGACTAATGTATAATAATGTGTGTACCTACCTATTTCCTAAATTATTTAAATTGAAATACTTTGCGAAGGCGTGGGAATAAGTTTGATTCCAGAACAAAATAAATAATTCGTGCCTAGCCGCTCAACAATTATCTACTAATATTATTAATTTACGTCATAAACGTACCTACTAACAAAAATAAATGTTTTTAATACATTTAATTAGGTAAAAAATTTGACTGTTTGCTCGTCTAATGGTATATTTTGAAATAATAATAACAATAGTAATCTTTATTACGAAAAAACGACTTGATTTACAAAATATAATTACATTTTAAATAATAAATTAATAACAGTAGTTATACCCAAAATATTCAAAAACATACTACCTACAATAAATTAAAAATTATATTTTAAATTGAAGCTTACATTTTTAAAGATAACTTTAAGGATATTGTGTATATTATGATGACATAACACATTATATTAAAAAGTAGAATATTTGTATATTTTATAGAAAGCTGGAAGTGCCAATACAAAAAGTAGAAAATATACGCATATTATAAATTGATGGTGTAGGTACATTATACAAACAAACAATTATCATTAATCTTAATCCTCTACATGTGATATTCAGCACTGACATTAAAATTATAGGTACCACACCTATGTGTCTATATTTATAAATTTTGAAAAGTATGAAATACTTTGAATATACCGAAGAAAAAATAGTGTATCTATATGAATTATGCACGCGAAAGAGACGAAAAGACATGAAATTTTAGCACATGAACATTGAGCATATTATTACCAGGATTATTTTATGGTATAATATAACTCCAATCGACCGGCTTCCAAAGACGCGAGTTGTGTAGTAAAAAGAAGGATTTGTTTAGTTCTCACTTTTTAGGTTTACCCGCCGGAGCACGATACGAAAATAAAATGAAAAACTATCCAACACCTGGACGGATACCATCAGTGTCACGGTAACTTATTATCATTTTAACCACGTAAAGTATGATATTTTCTACTTAAAAATGCCGACTATACGCGAGATAACGTGGATTATATTCGCATTGACAAAACAAAAGTAGTAACTCTTTGTTTATGTTTTCATTTCGTGTAAAATTTCAAAACATAATGTATATTGGTCGTGAAAGCTGATGTTTGATGGCTGATATGTCGTATGATAACAATACGGTAACAATTGGATTAAATCAAACGTAAGAATATGATCTGAATTTAAAAACAATGTTTTCTACGAAATAATACTCAAATAAAAACAAGTCTAAATGTGCTTTCATTATGTATGTGCTGTATTTTGAGTATAATGTCATATTATTGAGTATGTTTTTTACACTTATTCTAACATGCCAATTGATTAGTGTTAGAGCAAAATTGAAACTATTTAATCTGCTATACAAAATATAAGAAAATATATTTATTTAAAGAATTCCAAAATCACATACTTTATGTTATATGCTAAGTTCAAAGAATAATTTTAATTCTTTAATATACCTATATAAAATAATATATTTATTATTGTATTATTCTACCATATATTTGGAATTAAAAACATTCAAATTGTTAGCGTGGCTTTGGCTTAATTTCTCCGGTTCCTGCACATTATTTCAAGTCTGCATATCAACGACCTGCTATGGACATGAATCCTGCTACTCTTCTATTTGTTGTGGACTTTTTATTCTCATATAAATCTTTTTAAAAAAACCATATATTCTCATATCCATTTAAATAGATGATGCGATATCCATATTTTATCTCCATTTCTACGACTTAGCAAAAAAAAACGTTATGACCATATAGAATTCAAATGAAAAAACCTACATCCATTAAACGGATTAAGGATTTTCTATCGTTTGATTTTTTTTTCTTAATCCATGTGAAGAATATAATAATATTTTAATCAAGATTAAAAATTTATAGCAAAAAAATTATTATTGCAACTCTTCAGTCGTTTAAAACGGTGTACCTATTTCAAAATATATTGACATTTTGATGTCCATCCGTCCAAAATAAATAGTCTCCCGTCAGTGAAACTCACTTTCTGCAAGGCAAACCGAGCTAAGCGTGGATGTTAAGTGTTAGGTATACAATTGTTTTTAGGGTTTTTACTTTTTAAACAATGTTCCGATTTTATAGAAGATACAATATTAATCATAGTTAGTATTATAGTAAAAATACTATTAATTTTTTGACAAATATAAATTGCTCAACTAATTATTATATAAAAGTTGATTTCGTTAGTTAAAAATATTAGCTCAAATTTATATTATATCATCAAAAATAAATTCTTAATACTTACTGGATGTATCTTCGCCTGTGTATTATTATCTATAATAAAAGTATACCGGACGATCCATTAAACATAAGACACTTATTATTTAAAGCTTAGTTCAGCGGAGTGGGTTGGTACAGGGGTATACTGTAAAATGCTGCTCATTTACTCTGCTCATCTTAACTTTAAAAACTTATTATTAGGATTTGGATTTTGTAACAAAATAAATAGTTAGAACTTTTATAAATTTAATTTAAGCTTATTAAAAGGTTCAAAATGATAGGTACGGCAGAAAAATAAGAGGTTGTACAAAATATAACAGTTTTGTCACATCCTTGCCAGATTATTTCATAATTTTTTTTTATTTTGAATTTTTGACATTTTGAAGACATACTCGTATTATTTAAGTTTTAAATCATATTTTGTACAACAATATTCACATTTACTGATTGATGTTTACCGATAAGCTAATGTAATTGAATGTACTATAAAAATACGCTGTATTTACAATATGTATGGCACGCCATAGTATAGCCATTATATGTTTTGTCCTTTCCAAAAGTCGTAAATAAAACAGTAATTATGGTCACTTTGATAAAACTACAATTCCAGTAC